GGGTTGACCATCTCCTAAGAGGTCTCACAGGGCAGTACTTATCATGTTGGTGAATTTTCTAGAGTCCAACTCTAACCTTTGACCTTGCAAGCTTAGAAATCAGATTTTGACCGCACACAAAGCAGAAGTCCGTTTCTCAGTAGCGGATCCTCCCTTTCCTCCTCCTCACTCGATTCTATTCTCCTGGCCTCTCTTATCTTCCCCACATGCCAAACATCCCCCTGCCTCAGGCCCTTGGTATGTGCTGCTTTCCAAGTGCTCACATCCTCAGTTTCTCAGTGCCTTCATATCTCCGCTTCAATGTCCCCACATGAAGGCCACCTTCCCTGACCCCTCCATATATAATAAAATCACCTCTCCACCCTTCACATCATACAAGATTTCCAAATACAGCAAATAAAATTACAGAATGCTAATTCAGTCTGAGTGTCTGAGAAATAACAAAAATATTTTTAGTGTAAGTATGTCCCATGCAATATTTGGAACATACTTTAAAAAATTCATTTTTTTTCTGAACTTCCAATTTAACTGGATGTCCTATAGTTTATCTGGCAACCCTATTCACATGTTCATATGTCTGTGAGGCCAGATATGACGGTAACCTGGGCTAAAGTGGTGACAATGAAAATGGAAGAAAGGGGAAGGAACTGCAGTGCGAGAACCAACCGGGCATGATAATGGATTGAATGTAGGGAGGAGGGAGAGCTGGCTTGCTTAGCTGGGTATAAATTTAGTTTACTGAAACAAATCCCACTAGAGGAAGAAAAGGAGATCTGTCAAGGAGTAAATTAATCTGTGGACTTAGAAATGTTAAGTTTGAGGTGCCATTAAGGAATTCAAGTGGTGAAGTTATTAAACAGTCAGTTAGAAATACATGTATTGAACTCCAAAGAGAAAGAGGCTGTGAAGTACATTTGGGAGGGACTGAAAACCACAGGAATGGATAAGGTTACACAGGGCATGAATCTAGAACAGAAGAAGGGTGACTTCCTCCAGAGAAATTACATTTCTCTCTTGCCCATATTGCCTGCTTTATTTTTCTTACTTTATATCCTCAGTAGTACACATAATATATTCTGGAATTATTATTCCCTGTAACTTCACGATTAAAATCTGTCTAGTTTGGGAAATGCTCTGTTTATCACTCTTCTCCTTTAACAAGCATTAAGGAAAATGATTTCTTTACTTGCAGTGACAAAATTCATGACACAGCATTTGCCTCAAAATTAGAGTTCAGTACAAGAGTAGCAATTTGCCACAGATATAAAAATGGTTTGTTTTCTTTTCATAAATGGATCAAAATAAGAGTCTTCAGGTGTTCTGTGTTTTGTTTGTTTTTGAAGGTTAAAGCAGAGTTATTCCTGGACAGAGAGGATGAATGCCTTTTCATTCTATGATTACTAGTTGCCCGGAGGGCTCCCTGTACACTTCACATGCGACAATTCCTCTAATAAAAGATTACAAAGTATCCTAGGTTGGGAGAAACACATTGGTTAACAAAAATAGGTAAAGAACATTGGACCAGAATATAACAAAAATCTTCTGGAAAAGCAATGAAACAAGAAAAAAAAAAAAAGGAAACAGCTATTTTAATAGGAAGGTCACAAAAGGTCACAGAACCTTCACTTCCTATTTTGATTCAAAGCTTATTTTGGATTCATTGGCACCCAGAGCCATTCTTCCCAGGAAATTGCCTGGTTAGGAGGCATAATCTTTATTTAATAATGTGAAGTTTCCTCCACTTAAAAGTTTTAGGAGTGGCAATGTACCTATGTCAGTAGTAGGCTTCTTACAGGTACCATTTTGAACATGAGGAATTCTTAAAAAAAATAATAAAATTCTCTATTTGGTAGCATATTTCTACCCTGCATTTAAGAGTACAGTATGGGTCAATTAGTAAAAGCCAAATTCCAGAATAATAATTTTTCCTTGTAATTAATAGAAAACAAGTTTAAAAGGGTGTATGTGTATAGTTTGTGACCTCTTTATAATCAATTCCATCGAGGCACTTAAACTGAAGTTTTACCATAGGTAAAAATAAATGGCATTCTATCATCTCTCAGAGTCTTTTTTTTTTTTCTGCTCCTTTCCTTATCCTGGCTTTCTGTTTTTATTATTTTTGATGAAACTCAGTACTTGCACCTTATAACAGAAAAAGGGAAGTAGAAGAAAAAGAGAAAATTTTAATTTGATACATAAGTGTCTATCATAGAAGAAAGTTTTAAGTAATTGATTAAAGTGAGTTTTGATCTAAGCAAGGCATATTTTTTATTTAATTATTTTTTCCAGCCCTCTTTTGACAACTGGACTGATACTGCCACATTCAAATTATTTATGTGCAGCATGAAAATATGCAAATGTACATTATCTCATAATCTCAATACAATAGCAAAATTGATGAAAGAATATAAAATAAAGCAATTCTTAATAGCTTCAAGATTTTCAAATTCAAGCTGTTAGTAAATCTCTCATGACTCTCGACTCATATTCTGTCTTAACTGGACAATATTCCAAGTACTGTAATCATTAAACATACCATAGAACTAAAGTCAAGTGATCAAAAGACTCAATTTATCCTTAGTATATTTAGGTTTAACAGTAGACTGCTGACAACTTCACAGACTCCAGAGTTGAAACCCTAGCCTGTCTTTCAGATTTGCTATATTTTATTTTTAGATGTAATCACTTCCCTCCGGTAAATGGTTAGTGACCACAGGCACAGGTCTGCACATGAGGAAACTAAAAAGGGAACCCTGTCCCGTGAATCAGATACGCAGGACACAAGAAGAGCCCCCTGTCAGGCCTGCCCAGCGTGTCATATTCTTCAATGATCCTTATGACAGTGCTGACATTTTCAATTAACGCAAATGAAACTTGAAGTTGGGTAATTTCCACAGCATGTGTAGTATGTTTGTTCCATGAGGCCCTTTGACCAAATAGCCTGATAAAGATCAACTCTTGATTTTTCTCTTTATTCATTTCCCTTTTTGTTACATGTTACGTGAATCTGGTTAGAGTTCAGATTAATTGTGAATTCACACTCTTAGGAAAATCTTTCAGAGAAATTAATTTGATAAAGTAAGTTGGACTGGAATGTATGCAGTTCAGTAGCCTCACGTGCAATATAACCTAATTAAAGATTTGAGATATCAAAACCACCAAAGCAGTACATTCAGGGGAATCCCAAGTCAGGGAAGTTTCAGTTATGCAAGATGACTGAGTTCTAGAGCTCTGCTGTACAGCATTGTGACTATATTTCACGGTGCAGTATTACACATAGAAATTTGTTAGAAGGGTAGCTCTCATCTTAAGTGTCCTTGCCACAATAAAAAAGTAAAAGAGTTACTGGAGGCAAAAAATAAAACAAAAGTCATCTAGTAGCGTAAGATGCAAGAAAAAGAAAAAAGCACTGTCAGTTAATTACCCCAAAAGTAAGTGTTCCCCTAAGTGGTTTCCTCAGATATACTGTATTAGATTCACTACCGGAGCTTCTTAAAGACATAAATTGCTGAGTCCTACCCCACCCAGCCTGTCCTGCATCATCTCCTGAGACTGAGACTCAGGATCAATGACCCACATGATTTTTCCTCACACAAAAATTAGAAAACCATTTATATAGATACTTCAACTCATTGTTATCGTCAAGAACATTTATTACATATCAGTAACTCATTATTTCAACTCATTATTATCATCAAGGACATTTATTACACACTAGCATGTGCCTACAACTATGTTCTACTCAACCTAAGATGTATTTCCTTTCCATCCTATAAAGTCCTATCTCCTCTAATTAAGTCTCAAACCACATTATCTACTATGACTCTTAAAAGGAAGAGATGTAACTCCCCTGCCTATTCATTCTTTTTTGCCATAAGTCACTCCTGATTTATTTCTCACTGAAAAAAGAGAGTTTTTCTCAAAAAAATTATGACAGCCACAGGATGTCATTTACACAGAGGGACAATATTCAAAATCTCATGTGGATTATTTTAGGAAATACACTTTATAAATTAGTAAAAAATATCATAAAGACTTATATAACACTCTGAGAGACTAAGATTTGTTATTTGTTATATGAAATTGTTTCTATTTTGTGTGCTTCAACCTCACAATCTTCTACTCCAATGTGTGCATACCTATTTAGCAGAAGTTATTAGATATATTCAAAACAAAAAGCACAGTAAAACTCACAGTCTCAGAATATATTATCATATGTGACCATTATCAGAATATATCATATCTGATCCATTACAGGAAAGTTGAATTTCTCTTTGCTTAGCAAATGGCTTCAATGCATCTAGTTCAACTTAGATGTACATCTAGATCAGCAACTTACACATACTCAATATGCAAGAAAAGTCTTCCAAACAAGCCACATAACCACTTCTTAAAAATCAGATGTGGAAATAAATGTTTCAAATTGCCTTCAAGCTCTTTGAAAATATTTATGAGGTTGATAATTTAACAATTGCAAATAAATATTACCTGTTTAGTCCCAAAAGGGCTCTAACAACTATTAATCTTTTGCTTATCTCACCTGAGACTATAAAACTGATATATAATTAAATTATGTTTCCTTTTATATCTCCCATTCTGTTTTTCTCTTTCCCCTGTTTAAGATTAATATGTCCCTGATTAATACGCAATGTTAATGGGGTTCTGTACTTCTCATTTCAGTAACTTGAATAACTTAAAGAGGAAAGGAAGATGTATACATTCGGAAATGCAGCAACATTTTTATTTATAAACTTCAGCAAGAGAAAGGAAAGGCTATTTAGACTAATACAATGTAATATGCATGTGAGAAATGAGGTAACTTTAGAAATTCTCAATGTATGATGTGAAAGTCAAGTGGGGAAACGATGAATTTGTTTTGCACTAGTTGATTTAATCTATGACCTCTTCAACCTTAACAAGATTCATCTTAATAAGCTTTTGAAATAATTTAAAGACTATAAATAACACTTGGTGACTGGACAAAGAGGTGGCCCGGATACCTGGCTTGTCCCTGAATGTCACAGAAGCGGAAGCAGGAAGCAGCAGGATCGCCACCCAGAGCCAGAGTCCCCAGGACCCAGGGCGCCTCATTGTGCGTCGAAACCCTGGGAACAGGTGGCCACAGATCTGCAACAGAATAAAATATTTTAATTAAGCCTAATGTATACAGTTCCTTTTATCACTATCAACAGAAAATCCTCATCACCAAAGAAAACGCAATAGCTTTTTATATTACATATGTAATTATACCCATATGTCAATATCTACCTTAAGCATATGAAAGAACTCTGAAAATATTTTAGATTAGTTCCTAATTATCAATGTCCATACATCCTCTTATAACTTAAGTTTCTTCTCCTTCTAAATGTTTTTTTTAAAATCTCCACCACTTACAATGACATGTGTATATACATTTTTTTTAATCCTGGTAAATACACAAAATGTAAAATTTATCATCTTAACTATTTCTAAGTGTACATTTCAGTGGAATTAAGTACCGACACATTGCTGCATAATCATTACTGCCATCCATAACCTTTCATCTTGCCAAACTGTTTTATTGCACCTATCAAACAATAAATTCCCATTTGTCCCTCCCCCCAACCCCTGGTGTCTACCATTCTCCTTTCCATCTCTTTGAATTTGACTACTCTAGGTACTTCATATAAATAGAATCATATAGTATTTATCCTGTTGGGACTTTATTTCACTTTACCATAATGCCCTCAAGATTCATCCATGTTGTAGTATGTGTCAGAATTTCCTTCCTTTTAAAGCTGAATACTATTCCACTTTATGTATATAGTATATTTTATTTATTTGTTCATCCTGATATACCCTTGCATTGCTCCCACAGTCTGGCTATTGTGAATAATGCCACTATGAAGATGAATGTACAAATTTCTATGCAAACCCCTGCTTTCAAATCTTTGGGTACATACTAAGAAATGGAATTATCCTATGATAATTTCATTTTCAATATCCCAAAGGTCCACCAAACTTAGCAATTGCATTTTATATTCCAACCGATAGTGCACAATGGTTCCAATTTCTCCACATCTTAACCATCATTATTGTTTTCTGTTTGTTTTTTGTTTTAAAAGCGGCTACCCTAATGGGTGTGAGATGGTTTCTCACTGTAGTTTTTAATTTCCCTAAGCATTAGTGATGTTGAAGATTTTTTAATGTGTTTTTAGCCATTTGTATATCTTCTTTGGAGAAATGCCTATTTAACCCTTTGCCATTTTCCAATCTACTTGTTGGAGCTCTTTATGCATCCTGTATAGTAACCCCTTATCAGATCCATGATTTGCAAAAATTTTCTCATTCTGTGGGTCACCTTTTGACTATGCTGATTGTGTCCTTTGCTGCACAGAAGTTCTTTGTATCATCTAATTCACCTTTTTTCTTTTGTTGTCCATTCTTTTTGTATCATATGCAATTATTTATATTTTGAAAATATAACTATTATTCACAATTGTATTTTCTCTTCTGAATATTAGTTTTACATATTTTGGCTTAACTGATATCATTACATTCTCTATAAATTTCACTCTGCTGTTACTGGATTGAATTATCACTGCTACTGGAGTAATCACTGCACACATGAAAAGTAATCTTTCCTTCTATTTGAAGAGAAAAACAGACGTGTGCAATGCCTCCCCCAGCTGAGCCTGCCACTGGCATATTTAACATTAGAATGTTACCTCCCATAATTGTTTGTCTTTCTGAATGTGGACTACTCCCGTAGAACTGCTACAATAAGAGATTTAGTAAATAGGATCCCTGTAATAGAAAACTTAAACATTATTTAAATTAATTTTTTATAGTGAATTAACTACCATGGAAACAAATTGCAAGTAAAACTATGATGGTTCCCTCAGTGTATTTGACAATTGCAGTATCATTGGAATTGCTACTCTAGGAGTTCTAAATATGCAAATAATATCATTTATTTGCCATCATTCAAAGTTCACTCAAGAGTTAAATATAAAAGAATCCACCATATAAATTCCTAAATGCTGTCAATAGACATTTCAAGATTTTAGATATTTCTGGATGAATAGTTAGAAGCAGCAATTTCAGTTAAAACTGTATATGTGCTTCTAAACATCAAATAGCTGGTTTTATGCCTTATTTCTTTTGGACTTTCTCATCTAGATATAGTTCTAATCCTCACATGACTTTACAGACTTATCCTAGCTATTATTTCAAGTCAGTTGGTAACTGGTAAAGCAACTAATTCTATTTCAAATAAACGAACTCACAAATATTAATCTAACTTTCAGAGAGTTCCTTGGTTGTTTGCATTTTTAACCAGAGTGATTTTTATTAGTGGATAAATTAGCAGTATAGTATAGTGATTAAAACCACGGCTTCACATCTGGGTTCTGCTACTTACGAGCAAGTTTTATACTTTTGTGAGTTTTCATTTAAGTCACATGATAACTGGGAATAATATTAGCAATAAATTATTTAATACATGCAAAGAGTAGAGGGCTGTGAACATAGTTCAAAGACTACATGCTATTATAAATGTTTGCTCTACATATTCATAAATAATAATTAGTAAAATTTTAGTTACATTTATCTCCTCAGCCTGAGGTTGATATTGATATTTGGGCAATGAAGAAGTGCTGAAGCATCCTAGATATTCAGGTTCAGTGAAGTTTTGGTCCCTGTGACAGCAACGAAGAACAAGAGAACTATGTAACCATAAGTGTATTAATTCAATCTTGAGTTAACCAACTATTTCCTTGAGCTACTTAGGGGATGACAACCATTAGCCTCAAGCTACTTTATCCAAAATGTTTGAAGAGGAAGATGCTCTGGTTAATTGACTAAACGTTCTGGTTACTGAAGAACCGCCGTCCCACGACTCCACTGAAATGTCTCTTGCCAAGTTCAACAAGAACTTGAGAAAAGGATACTTTTCTCGCCCCATCTAATCAACTCTTGGTGGTATTTCTAATAGCTGGCCACTCCCTCCTTCCTGAAATTCTCACTCTCACAGTCCTCCTTGCCCTCATTCTCTCTGCATTCCCTTCTCATTCGCCCTCTTAGATCATTTTTGCACCTGATTTCTTAATGTTGGGGTCTTCCTTGCCTATTTTTGTATCATGTCTCTTCCGGTGATCTCACTGTTCTTTCGGCTCTAAACAGTTATCTGTCGGGTGATGCCTGTAAAATTTATATCTGCAGTCCAGTCCTCTTGTCTGAATTTTAGACTGTGCATCCAGCTGCCTGCTCAATATTCCCTCTTCGATACGTCACAGACATCTGTAACTTCATGTGCCCAAATTAAACACTTGATTCTAACCACAACCTGCTCCTCTCATGGTCTTCCCACCGTAAATAATCAGCACCCACCAAAACGCTCAAACCAGAACCCGTGTCGCACTGATTCTTCCGTCTGCCTCATCATCATCTCCCACATTCAGACCACCAACAAGTCACATTAGGGTCGCCCCAAACACGTCTCAGATCCACCACTGCTCCCCATCCCGCTGCCCCTACCCTAGTTCAGGCTGCCCGGGTCTAGACTCCTCAACAGCTTCCCCACTGGTCTCCCCAGCCATGAAGTGCTTCTGACCAGATTCATTCTCAGGGAGTATTAGAGAGCTTTTCATAAAATTAGAATCAATTCAAGCCCTTTCATGGTTTCCCATTGTACTTCATATGTAATCCACAAGCCTTTCTCTGGCCTGAAGTGCCCTTGCTCTGTTATTCTCTCACTCAGATTACCTTGTCTGTGTTCATACGTGTTTATTGCCCTCACTCAACTCTAAGCTCCCTGACGGCAGGGACTGTCTTGTCTGTCACTGTATCCCAGGCACCTAGGATAGTACCTGGAAAATCAAGGTCTCAATAAATATTCTTTCAGTTACAGAAAAGCAAGAGACTGCTAATTTTCAAAGCTTAAGATACAGTAAAGTATCTTTAAATTTAGAAGCAGTAAAGATAAAAAACTTATCTTTGAATCTGTAGAGATAATTAAATCTTTTGTAATTCTTAAGGCTTTTCAAGGTATTATAATACTTCAACCACCATCATCATGAACATCCTCTCTCTTTACATATTTCTAAAATGTATTCACTACTTGAGATTTCTGTTTTTTGATTCTGACAAGTAGAGATGTACCACTCAGCTACCAACATTTGAAAAAACCTGACGAAAGGTCTCCAAATGAATGCGTGTATACATTAAAAAAAGAACACACACACCTTTTCCAGATCTTTAACCTCTGCTGCAGGCAGGTGCAGGGTCGGCCCCAACAAAACTGTCAAGGGGAAAACATCCCTTGCTGTCCTGCTGTCCCTCTCCTGCTGACCTTTCTCCCTGTCCCCGGATACCTGCTGCTGTCAGGCTGCTTCCTGCTGCTCCAGCCCCACCCAGCACCCTCCCCAGACTTCTCTCTGAGCTTCCCCACCCGCTCCTACCTCATCAGAACTTGCCGGTTTTCTGTCCTTTCCCCTCAGATCCCTGCTGGCTGACTGTCAAGATAGTTTTAGAAATGAATCCAAGCCCGCGTTATCACAGTTTAATGCATCACTCTTCCCAGGGAAGATTTAAACATTAACGCAGACCTCCACTGCATTCCCAATAGGGTGGTCAGTGAAGACCCTCAGAATAAAACATGCGGCTGCTGAGGTTTCCTAAGGCCCTCAAATCACTTATTTCCAAACTTCTACAAAGATGGCTCATGGCACATCTTACGAAGAATATGGAGAATACTGGTCACACGTGTTCTCATTTTCTGAAGTAGAATTTCTTTTACTTATGGTATTATATTTTAATATTCTTAATAACAGCCCTAACATTAGTGTATGACAAGAGATCCATACATCATATGTCTACATATGAAGTTTTTTAAAAAGCTAATAAAACTGGTAAGAAATATGTGCTTTATCCTTCTATCTTGGCAAGTTTACCTTCATAAAGACCTGAAGGCCCAGGTCAAGTCTGGCCTGAACAGAACAGGCTGCAAGGGGTGAAGTGGGCCTGACCACACTCCTCCCTCGTTTCTCCCCACTCCCGGCTTCATCCGCAGCATGCAGGCCTCACCACAGCAGGGGAACAGGCCGGCAAGTCTACCCTCTGGCCACAGCACCCGCCACCAGCCTCTCCTTGACATGCCCTGGGGCCTGGGTGAGCTACCACCCGAGGCTTGGTCTGCCCCTGGGAAAACAGACCTAAGGAAGAGGTCCTCCCCGTCCGGCAGTAGGATTAAGGGTCATGTGGTCAGGGAGCTTCAGAAGCCTGGGCTTTGGGCAGGCAGGTCCTGTTACCCAGGTGGACTCCCAGCCCTGAAAGCCGGAGCTTGTCCAGAGCAGGGCCAGGTGGCGTCCCCCTAAATTGTAGGGCCAACAACAGGGACTCTCTTGCCTGGGCCTAAGGGTGCTACAGGTACCAGGCCCACCGTCTACAGATAGAAGCCATTAAAGCTCACAGAGATCTCGGAGGCTGGGATTCAAGTTCAGGACTGCATGATACAAACCCTGTCGTGTTACACCATGAGGCTTACTATCAGGATGGGGGGCTCACCTTCCACATTCCTACATGCTTCCCATACACTTTTCAGCTACTCTCTATCAAGCTTCTAGCCAGACTCCAGACAGCTCCTTCCCAGTGCTACAGAGTACCAGAGCCACAAGTGTGAGCATGCCCAGGACTGGCCACCTTGATGAGCTGCTGGAGCCCGAGTCCTCTAAAGTCACCCAGATAGCCTGGCCTGTGACCCACTTTGTATTGCATGGCAACAAAGAGCTGATGACCAGCAGAAGCCTGGCTCTGATCTCCCTCCAACCCATTATTCTCACCCTCCGTGGCCAACTGGAAGAGTCTGGAATACTGGTTGGGGTAAAGGCATTTTTTAAAAAAGTCACTATCCCTTAAACTTCCTTAATCCAGCTCTTGAAATCCTATAAGGCAATACCAAAACTAGAATATTTGAATTAGGATATGGGTTTAAAAAAATTCCTAATTAATCTAGATTTGTGTAAAGAGAGCACAGAAAAGGCAGAAAAAGAACATTAAAACAACTTTTAATCTCTCATTCCCTTGACACAATGAGGTTCCTGCTGTGTGCCATGGGGGACACAGTGACCATTAGGGACACAGCCGTGAGCCAGAGAGGGGGAGTCCCTGGTGTCAGTCTGGTCAGGGAGACTGAAAAATCAACAAACACGGACATTATCCTTGAGAGAGAAACTCTAGGAAGCAAAGGAAAGCAAAGCAGAGTGATGGAGTAGTGAGCCGGCGAGGTAGACGGTCAGGGGCTTCTCAGCAGAAGCTTCTGCATAAACCGAACCAAACGTGCCTGTGGAACATGAACAATTTTACTGTTAAGCCTCCTAATGCCTCATAGTGCTCATTCTGCATCTCTGAAATTTGGTATTAGGCAAAGGGTAGAGCATAAGATCTGAGAAAAAATAGAAAGTAACATGGAAAAGGGAATTTTGCTTTACGTAGGCTGTTCATGAGCAGCACATTACAACTTTCAAAAAAGTAAGTTTTATTTGTTAAATGACTGAAAGAACCCAAGTTTTCAGAGCATTTGTCAGAAATAGAAATTCTGTGCAGTGACTGGGTAAAGGATTGATTTTTAAGTGAAGTACCCTCCAGTGCATCTGTCATAACTCCAACAAGAAAATCTGGCCATCCCGTTACTAAACGTCACACCTTGTAACTAAGAAAAAAAAAACAGGTGTTATACATCTGTTCTTTTACCAATCTTTAGAAAATCTCTCTCCAGTGAAACTAGAGTAGATTCTCCAAGCTATTGGAGAAAACTGGCTGAAGAGTCATGTCTATAGAGGCAAAAATCCAAGCCAGTAATAGGACAAAAATCCTCAAGAGCTTGGAACTAGACATAGTATTATTTCATTATTTTATCATTGCCTGTAGTAATGAACTGAAGCTACTGTGCAGAAATATTTTGCAGCTTAGCGAGGTTTCTGGACTTGTTGACCTTTAGTATTTTAATTATAGGCATTATCTTTAATTTAGGAACCCATGTTAAAATTCCAACATCTTCAATTTTCACCCTTACATCAAACCTCTATCAAAGTCTATCAAATTGATTTTTAAAAAGTTTCTCGAATCCACGCCAACTGCTTCATCCTCACAAAAACCGCCTCAGTCCATGCCCCCACTACTGCTGACCTGGAAGTGTACAGCAGACCCCAAACTAGTTGCCTCCCCTTGTTCCGCTTAATTCCATCTCCCCACGCTCAAAAATTCTATATCCTAAAACAAAGATCCAATCACTTTGTGTTTGCTTTATTAAAGTCTCCTGGTGGCTTTTCACTGCCCACTCTTAAGGGAGGCACTCAAGCCCTTTTACAATGGGGCCTCAGCTCATCTGACCAGTCTTACGGCCGACTAGCTCCTTTCAAACAGATGCCACTCCGTCACACTAGCCACAGTGCCCCAAAATGCACGTGCCATTTTGGCTGCTGGGCTGCCCCTCCCATTCTCTCTCCATTTGGTGAACATTTGCTCTGCCTGCCACATGCAGTTCAAATGCCACATCCTCTATGAATTGTCTGAGACCCGTCAGAGGCAGAGTCCCTCATTCACTGTCCTGTGATCCACAGAGCTCAGCACCCAGCTCTGCCTCAGCACGGTCTGCAGTGCATTTTAATAACTTGTGTACCTTCTGCCTCC